GATATTAGCCAATAAAAGAAAAATGTACATTCACAGTCACTTTATTAAGGACATCTGTTCAACTGCTTGTTTATGCAACTATCTAATCAGCCAATCACATGGCAGGAACTCAGGGCAGGCAGGGAGACACGGTCAAGAAAACCTGCTGAAGTTCAAACTGAACATCAGAATGAGGAAGAAGCATAATTTAAGTGAATTTAAACGTAGCATGGTTGTTAGTGTAAGTATTTCAGAAACTGCTGATCTGCAGGGATTTTCCCACATGTACATGTTTACACAGAATGGTGTGAAAAAGAGAAATATCCAGTTAAAATGCTGATTAAAGGAGGATGGACAGACTAGGAATAGGAAGGCAACAGTAGCAAAATAGCCACTCATTGCAATCACGGTATGCAGAAGAGCATCTCTGAACGCACAGCACATTGAACCTTGAAGCAGATGAGCTGCAGCAGCAGAGGACCACACTGGGTGCGAGTCCTGTCAGCTCAGAACAGGAAACTAACGCTACAGTTCAAACAGGATCATTAACACTGGACAATAGAAGACTGGAAAAATGTCGTCTGGTCAGATGAGTCTCGATTTCTGCTGCAACATTCAGATGGTAGAGTCAGACTTTGGGATAAACGACATGAAAACTTGGATCCATGCTGCCTTGTATCAACAGTTCAGGCTGCTGGTAGTGCGATGGTGTGGGGGATATTTTCTTGGCACACTTTAGACCTCTTAGTGCCAAATGAGCGTTTAAACAACGCGGCCTCCCTGAGTATCGCTGCTGACCATGTTACATTATGAGAAAATATTCTTTTTGTGATGTTATGTTCTAAGTTGAAGGCGTTGTATACGTTTTTGTTGTTTAAATTTAGATGATGAGGATGTAAACCTGAGGGGGTAGGGCTAAATAAGTATATACTTCTGCCTACTCCTTTTCAAACAACTGCATGGAATGGTTTTATGAAACGTTGGTGAATGTATATGTTTGAAATAAAAAAGAACTGAACTGAACATTAAATTAAATTAAACCATATTACCATCTTCTTGAGCTTGTTTAATGTAACATGTGGTATAAAAGTGGCATGAATATAATTCACAGTAATGTCAGTTTATGTTTGCAAATTCTTTGTGAACCCTAAATCTCATAAACAGTTAAGAAAATAAATGGGTGGATGGATCACAGGTTTATGCAGATTCATACTCTAGGGAGCATTGTTTAGACAAGTTAGCTATCCCCACATGGTGAAATGTACCCTCGAAGCTTTGCTCCAAAATGCTTTTTGAAGTCGTCATTGGTGAATTATTGGATAAGAGACCATCACAGATATTGAATTAGTGCAGTTTTGCCATTGAAACTGTTATTCATCCAATGATACTGATGCTCAAAGCTGGTCCATCCATCCATCGAGCCAGTTTCTTCCACTTATACAATGCGCTGAGAAGCGGGGTACACCCTGGAGAGGTCACCAGTCTGTTGCAGGACTAACACACAACACATTCACACCTTTTGGCAATTTAAAATCACAAATTAACCTAACCCTACTAAGTGTACTGTGAGAGGAAGCTGGAGTACCCGGAGAAAACCCACACAAACACAGGGAAAATATGCAAACTCCACATAGAAATTACACGTGAAGATAGTGGATTCAAACCTACGACCTTCTTGCTGATTACAGAAAAACAAAAAAAAGTTCTGAAAAAAGAAACAAGATTTCTTGCTTTGGACTGTGACAGTTAAAGTGGATGTAAAATTGATTTGGTTGCAGTTTGTAGCAGAGCTGAGAAACTGTGAGCTCTGAAAATGTCATGCCTCAACACTCATGTACGTTACGAGGCCTCAAAAACTGCTGGAAACAATAAGACAAATCAAAAGCACCAGATTTCCACCAACCCTTATGTACTTTTCAGGCCTGTCACTGATACAAAGATTAAATTGCGCATGGCTTCATTAAATATATTGAAGTTAAAAATGGTGTCTTTCTAAGGAGGGGTCAGGTTGGAGGCGCACACTGTTTTTAAACATGGCTAAAACTATGTTTAAAAAAAAGCTCAGGATGACTGAAGTGCATTTAAGTTGAAAGCATGAATTGTGCTAATGACTACTCTGAATAATGTGAAAATTACCATGCCACAAAATGTAACTGTTACTAATTACTACATGAATGTTTGTAATGAGTTCGGCTAATAACAGACTGCAAGTGGCAAAAACCACAGAACATGTTTTCACACGTGCACTGCTGGGTGGCCAAACGGCCATGCAGTCTGTTTATAACCAGTTCCTGTAAGATTGCAGCAGGAAACAAGAAGCACACATGATGCAAAGACAATGCATCTTTGCATCATCTCTATTTTACCATTGGCTCTCTGCGCACAACCCCACCGTCCCCTTTTAACTAAGAACTGACACACCGCAGCAATGAACTGCAATGCCTTCACGACTGGGCAAAGGGGATGCAACCTAAAACAAACCATAATTATCGATTTGTGGTCCTGCTTGGGGCAAAAAAGAACATAATACAAAAGCACACACAAGATGTTTGGAGTTCCAGTAAGTTCCGCAACCACAGTTTAGTCTCAGGGGGATTCTGGGTTCCTCTTAGCTGAACTTCTTCGCTTTCTTTCTTGAAAGATGCATGCACACACATACATATACACTCCTGCATGCAATAAACGTAACACTAGCTCACAGGTCTTGGTGTCCATGGGACAGTTTGCTCTGCCGGCCTGCTGTGGGCCGGGCCTGCGTCTTTTCTCCTAGACGTTGCTTCAGACTTACTATCTGTTTCCACAGCCGTGCGCCTGCTGACCCAAGAATGCGGACAGCACTCGGGTACATTGTTTTACGAGGCTTAGCGGCATATGCGAGATGTGAAATGTAGATGCTGTTTATTTTGTGCGATAAAGCTAACTGTGGGGGTATTTTTGTACCAGTGTGTGATACATTTATTTTTAAGTGATAATCTGACAAGGAGATTCTTGTCCTTTCACATTTGGCATCATCTTTGGTGAAATTTAGTAACTGCTCAACTGATCTGTATGCAGTGTACACTACCATTACCAACATATGGAAAGTTAGCTAAGTTGCTAACTAATCAAGTCAAGTTGCAGACAAACTCAGACTGATCGCAATGTGTTGGCAATCTAATTTATGAATTAAAAAGCAATTACTGGCAATCATTTACCAGTCTGTCTGAGAGTGATAACAGTCAGTCCAACTTGGACTCCAATTGTTTGGAGACAGGTTGCCTCCCACCAGTTAACCTCTTCCAAAAATGGTCATCCAGAGGTTGAGGCAGTTGCATGCTCAACCTTTGGACAGTCAGTTGGGTGCTGCAGCTATTTGCAATTTGCCGAATCTGAACAAATTCAAGCAATCACTGTGCAACCACCGATTTTTCCTAGTTGCAAGGAGGTTCGACTGAGTTGTAAGCGTCTTTGTTTACTCGTGTACTGCATAAACTGCGAAACATTTAACAGGAGTCATCTTCCCAAAATGTCACACTTCCTGAAAGCGAAACAAATACCACAGTTGTGTCGTCATATGTGCCATCGCAACGCTCTGAGAGCTTTCTGATGTTCGCTGCTCATATTTTACATACTTCTCCACCCTTTCCCGAACACTGCTGCTGCCGCTGCAACCCCTTGACCTGTCTGTCGACCCTTGTTCCCATGGCAATTAGTTAGAAACCTTGGCCAATTATCGGCCGCTCTCAAACTCGGGCTTAACAAAGTGCTCAGAGCGGCCGACGGCGTGCCACCACTTTCCTAAACCCCCTCAATAGCTGAGAGAGATTTGTGTGATGGGTTAATAGCGGGATAGTAAAAGCACTGCAGAGGCGACATTGTTGAGTTCATGTTGGTTTATAGTGCGCTGTGACCCTGCTGAACGTTTTATAGAGAAGGGTGTCTATCATGAGAGAAGGGTGTCTATCATGGGATAAGGGCAGCATAAAGAGGACTCCACAACAAGCAGCCATAAAAGCCTGGTACATGCTGCACAACCTGTTACACACTGCCAGGCGAGAAACAGAGATCGAGTGTCTTTCTATTCTGCGTGTAGGTGACGCGTCCCCTCAAGAATGTGGTTCTCTTCCTCTCGCCGTTTGCTTCAATTTCCCCCTCTGCCTGCTTACTTCAATTTCCCCCTCTGCCTGCTTACTTCACTCGCACAGCCGAGGAGCTGTCGCTTGAGGAATCTGGAAAACACCAGTGGGGAATGAGAGGAATTTCTGCTTTTCGTTTTTCCTTAACCACCCCCTCACTCCTTTCGCTCTCTTTACTTTGGACGCCTCTGCACAGACGGGCTCTTGAGTTTTCTCTTGTTTCTGAATGCAGCCCAACAATAACAACCTCTCATAAACAATGGGGCTTGTTGATTTGGGGGTTGTGAAGGAGAGTGGCCGTTGCTGGCCTGCGCTGTCAGTTTTGCTGGCAGCGGGCCTCGCGAATGGCCCTAAAAGCTCGAAAGTACAGGCTACATCGAGGACTCTGAAAGATTTAAGGGCAACTTTAAATATGCCCCATCTCTGAAGGACCATAAACACATGCTTTAGTTCTTTCTTAATCTATCTTTCTTCCAGAAGGACTTTGATGGACCAAACTCTGAAAGGGGGAAGCTGGTCAATGTCAGGAAACCACAAAAGTACAGGAGGGGGGAAAAAATGGTAGTTTTGGAATTCTCTGCTTTTACAGCACCCGTGGACTCGTAAAGCCAGTCTGGATCACATCGAGTAGGATTTGAACAAGACGATGGTGGAGCCGTGCCCCGTCCTTTCAGCCTATGGGCAAAACATAGCCGGTCACATGTCATTTAAACAGCAACAGTTAAACCCCGCCTGCGTGACAGGGAAATGATAATACAGCGATGTGTCCTGGAATAACTCTGTCTCTACTGTTTCCATTTTGGAAGATGATACCGCACATTTCTGGACATTGTCCCTCATCTGCTGAACCGATTTAATGACTCTCACATCAACTAAATCAAAATAAAATGTCAAAAGGGATTCCTGTGAATGAGATGGGTAAACAAACCACTGCATTTTATTATAATTTCCTACAGGCTGCATACCAGAGCAAAGCTTTTTTGGAAATACAATGGTTTTTCCAAAATATCTCAGATGCACAAACAAGACATTACACAGTCCACTGCCTTTAGCGGGAACACACAGGAGTGGTGCGCCCTCATGTGGGCAACAGGAGACCAGCAGGTGGCTCTAGGTTGAATTTAGGGTAAAAACAAAACAGCCATTGTTTTGTATCTGTGCTTCTGTGTAGCTAGCCGTCCTCCATCTAAACACAATATAATAAAAGGATATCCACGTTTGGGTTCTTAAGTAGTCGATTATAGTTTATTTAACAGGTAACTTAACACTCAACAGTCATTCACTCACACACACACACACACACACCAAGCACATATCAAAAAGACACTCTGTACTCAGAGTCTGCAGCAGCGTCTCAGTGAAGGGGTCACTGTGGTCATCATTTGCTTGCAGCCTTGAATGGATCAGACCATATCTTCATACCTTCAGACAAAAAAAGAGACACAGAGACAGAGAGCTCTCATTAATAATAATCAGTCTATCAGTCGTGGATTGGCCTCTCCAGATGCTGGACCTCAACATCGTTGAAGCAGTGTGAGATCATCTTAACAGACAACAGAACAAAAGGCAGAAACATCCAAAGAAGAGCTTTAAATGTCCTTCAAGAAGCCTGGAGAACTATTCTTGAAGACTACTTAAAGAAACGACAAGAAAGCTAACTTGAGGCAACTGCTGTTGTGATTTAGCGCTATATAAATAAAATTGAATTGCGTAAGAGTGTTCAGGCTGTGATGAAGAATAAAGGTGGTCATACCAAATAGTGACTTTCAAACTCATTAGGATTGTACAAACTCTGTTTTTGCCTTTATATACTGTAATTCCATGTATGTTTGCACAATAACTTACTGAAGCCGTTTCCCATTTTCGTTGCAAAATATAAAGAAATGAGGAGTGTTTTAAGACCGTTGCACAGTACTGTACTAGAGAGAAAATATAACAATAGCGATCCCCTTTACTCTTAAGATATATGTTGTAATTCATGAATTTGTATGTACAGTATGCAAGCTGTACAAACAAGCTGATAACAGCTCACACTTACCCGCAGGCTGCACATCTGCCTGGTTGATCCCTGCCCGGTTCACCTTTTGGACGTCTCCTAGCAAGGACAGAATAACAGAGCAATTTGAGTAAATCTGTTAAAAAAAACAAAAAACAAAAAAACAACAACAACTTGCAGCTAAAGTCACTGATATAAACAATTTCCTTTGTTTTTTTTAAACACTACAGCTGGTTATTACCAGTCTTTACTGTCTTCGTGTCCCATGTATGTCAGGACGACAGCTCTCCATGTACCTGATAAGGACTATATTTGTCTTAGCTGACATAACTTCCTTTAAAACAGGGAAGAAATGTAGCAGTATTAATGTAGTAGCTGGATTTATTCAAGTCAAATAATGTTCATAATCACCTTTGACTCTTAACAGGCGCTCTAACTGAATGTATGTGTTAGATTAAATGAGTTACCTCAATGGCACTCTTTATGCTAGCTAAGCTAAACAAACCTACACGGACTGCTTATCATTTGTGGAATAAAATGACATTTAGCTCAGCCGTAACTAAGGAGAATTGTAAACGACATTAGGCCAGGCTTTCTAAACTAATTGTGTAACTAAATGAAAGCAAAGAAAGACAACTTACTGTACTCGTCTTTGTGTGTGAGGGGGTAAAAAAATATAGGGTAAAACGCAGCAGCAACGGCCGTCACAAACCCTCCAAACACCAACATTATTTTCGTGTTTTTAGACATTTTCTCTGCTGGGTAGAAAAATATCGCTCTCACATCCAAGTGTGCGCACTGTTTACACTGACTGCTTCCGGTGAAAAGGTCACTGGTGCCTTTAAAAAAAAAGGCGACACGACAAGTCGGCGGTTTGGTCTGTCTGGGCTTCCGTCGTCACAGTCACATGCCGCAGCACAACAATAATAAGGAAGTCAGCCAAGTTATCCAAGCCGTCTTCTCTCGTATGGGATTCAAAGATGGGATTTGTAGCGGCTGTCGTGTTTGCTGTTTGCTGCTGGTTCTCGCATGGAGTGGCAGGGCAAGAAGAGCCGATTCAGACGTTTGTGATCCCTCACAGTCACATGGATGTTGGCTGGGTGTACACTATCCAGGTAGGTGTCTTTAACCCGGCTAAAAAGTTGAGATGCATATAACGCGCAGATTGGGCTTTAATCTGGGTAAATGTGTTTATAAATGTGAGTGCAGGAGAGTATGCACGCCTATGCAGCTAATGTGTACAGCAGTGTGACTGAGGAGCTGTCAAAGGTTAAAGAGCGCAGGTTCATCGCTGTGGAGCAGGAGTTTTTCCGTCTCTGGTGGGACACCGTGGCCTCGGTCACACAAAAGAAACAGGTGAGGATATATATTCACGGCTACGAGACTATGGAGGGTACACGATAACGCCCCAGAAATTAAACATCCCAGCTGTTTTCTCTTAGATTAACCCTGCTCTGGTTTTTGTGCAAACTCCTCTCTCTTTCTCTCCAGGTACGACAGCTTATCAAAGAAGGTCGTCTTGAGTTCATCATCGGAGGTCAAGTGATGCACGATGAGGCTGTAACTGACCTGGACGATGACATCTTGCAGATGATGGGTAACGCCACACACTTCCTGCTCCTTCAGTCCACAGCTGCAGCAATAACTTACAGTGGTTCTAAAAATGTGAACAATTCCTGTTGTTAAAATAAAAATAAAACCACAATAAACCATCACAAAAACCTGAGATTTTAACAGGGGTGTGTACAGTTTAGTTTTATTTATTTATATAACACCACAGTCACAACAACAGTCACCTCAAGGTGCCTTATATTATAAGGTAACGACCCTAGAGTAATAGTGAGAAAACCCCAATGATCAAGTGACAGCATATAAGTAAGCGCTTGGTGACAGCGAGAAGGAAAAATCCACAGTAACTGAGAACCTCCCTGCTGTTTCAGAGGGTCACGGCTTCCTGTATGAGACGTTTGGGGTGCGTCCTCAGTTCTCATGGCATGTGGATCCTTTCGGAGCCTCTGCCACCACCCCTGTACTGTTTGCCCTGGCTGGATTCAATGCACATCTCATCTCTCGCATTGACTATGACCTTAAGGATACCATGCAGAAAAACAAGGTAGCGCAGCATAAAAACAACAGTCACACGGTCGTCTCAATCTGTGCTCCAAATATTTATAGCTAATCTAGTTTTATGTTTTCCAACACAGAAACTGCAGTTTGTATGGCGAGGCTCTCCCTCTTTGAAATCACAGCAAGAGATCTTCACTCACACCATGGACCAGTTCAGCTATTGCACTCCATCCTACCTGCCATTCTCCAACCGGTGCTTCATTTTTAGCTTCTCTGGTGCCTTATGTTACATTTGTGGTCGTCATTAATACGGTATATCTTTAATAACTATTCTTGTTCTTCCTCTTATGTCTCAGGTCTGGTTTCTATTGGAATGGAGTTGCCTTGTTTCCGGACCCACCTAAAGATGGAATTTACCCCAACATGAGCCTACCTGTGACCAAGGAGACAGTCCATGCTTACGCCAAGACTATGGTGGAGAACATCAAGCAGAGAGCAGCGTGGTTTAGAACTCATCATGTGCTTTGGCCATGGGTAAGTCAAAAAGAACTGTAAATCATCCATCCATCTTGTATCAAATCCAAGTAACAATCTTAAGGGATGAAATGCAGTTCGTCTAAAGCCCCCAAAAAAGGCAAGCTCCAAAAAGTGAGAACCTCTTTGTAGAAATGTTAAACTTTGGCTTAGAAGCATATTTAAAGCTTGCAATACAAAACTAAAGAACTTCTTTTCTTGTTTTTAAAGATGTTATCTGAGAAATAATGTTGCTTGGTGTGGGTAACGGCACCAATAAACCATAAAAGAAGCAATCTTTTATTTGTTCAGAGAGACTATGACCCTAATCAAGCTAGATATTGTTAGCTGATGATTTACCACTTCACTCTCTTTTCCAAATAATGATCTGTTACAAAGAAAAAATGGGAAACTTCAAAACGAAGTTTCAAAGTGGGACTCTACTGTGGAAGTGTCCATCTTTTATATACAGTCTATGGTAAACGTATCTAAGGTTCGGGACAAAATGTAGGAGTTAGTTTTGTGAAACAGCCTACTGACATGTGCGATCGTCCCGTTTTAGGGCTGTGACAAGCAGTTCTACAACTCATCAGTACAGTTTAACAACATGGACCCTCTGATGAAGTACATCAACCAGAACAGCAAAGAGTTTGGGGTAACAGTCCAGTACGCCACTCTGAGTGAATACTTCCAAGCCATCTACCAATCAAATCTAACCTGGGAGGTGCGTGGGAGTGAAGACTTCCTGCCATATTCAACTGGTAAGAAATCGATATCCTAACACGAAACGGTGAAGACGTGCTCTTCATATAAAGTACTGTGTATTTGAAAACACGACACGCTGTCTCTTCATGTAAATTGGAAATGTGTCGCACTTTTTAGAGCCCTACCAGGCGTGGACGGGGTTTTACGCCTCCAGAAACGTCCTGAAAGGCGTGGCGCGACAGGCCAGCTCAAAGCTGTACGCAGCAGAGACCCTCTTCGCCCGCTACCGAATCAGCTTCCCAGATGGACCTGTGGCCAAGGACTGGGCCCTGGACAAACTCAGAGCGCTGCGCTGGGCTGTTTCCGAGGTACACCTGAAAAATAGTGAAATAACAAATACTGCAAGACATTGAAGGTCCAATAAATATATACGGATTAGAAGGCAAAGCAATCATCATGCTAAATACTTCTCTGTAATTAAGTTCGAACATTCAGTTTGGAGTGGTTTGGTATTCCAGGTGCAGCATCACGATGGCATCACTGGCACAGAGTCTCCCAAAGTGGCTGACATGTACCTGCAGCATCTCCTGCAGGCCATGATGGGAGCAGAGGAGCTCCTAGCTGCTCTCTTTCTGTTGCCCCACAACCTCATGAGTCCCAGCACCCTTGGCGAGCGCTACCCTACAAAAGGTTTCAATAATCTGATATTTCTGCAGTGCTTCCACTTAAAAAACAAACAAACGTTTTTATAGTAATTAACTGAGCTAAACGGAGCACTTTAGCCAGTGCATGTCTTCGCATGTAAAAGTCGAAAAGGAAGTAAACTGCTCATCGATTTGCTCTGTAGCAGATGTTGATCAGGCTTTGGAGCAGCATGTCATCGTTTATAACCCTTTGGCGTGGAACATCACCACAATCGTCAATGTAACCGTGACGCAGCCGAGCGCTGCCGTGTTTGATGATGATGGACAGCCCGTCCCTGCGCAGGTACTGTTGTTTTGATGGTTTCTTTATATGTTGATTGGTGAATGGGAAATATGTGCAGAGATTTACAGAAATGTGCAAACATGCATGAAAATGCAGTATCATCACTTTTACAATAGATGGAGTACATACTGGTCCTGATGCATCTCTCGGGTGCTCTAAAAGGTCTTTACTGGGGTTTTTGCATATTTCTTAAGGATGTAATTTCCAGATACTCTTCATCTTGCTGAAAGCTTTTAAGGCCTTTGTCCTGCATTTATTAGTTTCCTCACATTCTTTAAGATATCAGGTTGAGATGTGCCAAGTTTTCTGCTAATATCTCTTTGAGGAGTCACTCAACACTTTTGCACAGTACCGTATGTTGATAGTAAACAATGCTAAAGCAGAGTGTATCAGTACCTATAGAAGCATCTGCATAGCTAAAGCTGGCAGCATCAGCCATCAAGTCCTCTTTAATTATATCAGACCAACTAAGAGTCAAGTGATTAATTTTTCCTAAATGAGCAGTTTTATCTGCATTTGTATGTATTAATCTCAACTCTTCCCCTCTCTCTTTCAGATCCAGGGGTCAGCACACTCCAATGCGACCTACGACCTTTTCATCGTAGTGGAACTTGGAGGCCTTCAGTACAGGAAATACTTAATTAAATTCCCAGAGAATTCCAAGGCTTTTGAAGCTAAGGCCGCTTCGTTCGAGAGACGCGGCGTGAAGGACCGGGCGAAAGCAGGGAGGCGACTACTTCCTGTTCTCAGCGAATGTTACGAACTCTTGTTCGACCAGGACACCAATCTACTGCACAGCATCACCTATCTGTAAGAGTTTAAGCCTCCATCAGTCCATAACTCTTGTTCGGCTGTCATACTTCAATGAACAGAAGTTGTTTTCACGCGTTTCTGCAACTCTTTTCATCCACGGCAGTGAGGAGAAAAGGAGAGTAATGATCACACAGGATTTCTGGGAATATGATGCCAATGGAGATGTAAAAGCAGGGCCAATTTCTGATAACTACATCTTCAGCGCTAATGGTTCAGCTGTGCGGGCCTACAAGGCTGTGGAAATGGAGATAATCCCAGGGAAGATTGTCACTGAGATCAGGCAGTACTTCTACAGGTGAGCAACAGTGACGAGTAGTTTATCATCTATTTACGTAGGTTATATTTTTTGTTATAGGAGTTATCTTGCTCTTCTCTTACTGCTAAAAGTACCACTAGTTGTTATGATCATGCTCACATTTTGAAATCTTCCGTGTTCTAGAGAGGAGAGCGATAAAAACTACGCCTACTCCGTTACCACTCGTGTCCCAGAACGCTTTGGGACCAAGCTGCCGTGCCACAGGCTGGAGCAGACCTACTCTCTGGGCCCACTCAGCCTCAACACAGAGGTCGTACTCAGGACCAGCACCTCAGTGAAGAACAACAGGACTCTGTACTCGGACGACAATGGCTATCAGATGATGAAGAGGACATACAGGAAATTCACAAACAACACTTTAGCAC